CCCCAAAACCCCAAAACCCCAAAACCCCAAAACCCCTTTAAAAATATTAAGAATAGAATTATCTAGTTGTAAATATATCGCTTCAAAAGTCTAGATTATGCTTTCAAAAATGCTTCATTATCCAAGTTATGCTGGATAGCCTTTTTATGGACCTATAAAATAAATGCGCTAATATACCTGGTATTCAATGGAGATCTCCTTAGGGATCTTGGATACTTCTCTCATCTTATCTCCAATCTTTTTCAACAAAGAAGGTTCTGAATTATCACTTAGCCAGAGTCAGATCCTGTGATGCTTATCTCTAACTGAGAAGACGATGCCGTTGATAATATCATAGAGTTCCTTATCAATATCTGCTCCTACAATGAGGTAAACAAGCTGGTTCCAGGCGGTCTCTCACTCATCAATCAATTTTTTATCTTTAGGTAGGGTACTGACCCATTTGCCTCCATCATTATTCTTAGGGTCTTCCCACTCTGGCTTTACGCCATGCTTGAACAGTAAGTAATCAGTGTTGGGCACAAGGTCTTTGACGTTGACAATATTGTTAAAGAGTCTCCAGAACTCTTGGATTGTGCCAAAAGTGTATATCTCATTAAGCTTGTATTCCTTCTGCCATCTCTCTTTTCCCTTCTTCTTTTTCCTCTCCTCATGGGACATATCGTAAACGTACCAGAAGGTCCATGAGTCTGACAGAGGCATTGGAGGGGTCTCTTTAGCAGCTGTTTTGACCTCCTCCTTTGTGGACTCTGGAGGAACAGAGCACTTCTCTTCCTCCTTGCTTGATTCATTTTCAGCATCTGTAACTGATGGCTCTTGTTTTGGAGCATCTGAGTTCTTTGAGTCCTCTGGAATAATTTTTTCATCAGTTTTAGTGTCTTCAGTGCAAGGAGGGTCTACGTCGATTTCTAGAAAGGAGTTAACATTTATTTGTTTTCAAGAACTTCCAGATTTTTCGAAAATGAGGGAGCCAGAAACACACCTAATAGCAAAAATATTGAAAAATGCATAGAAATATTGTGAATTTTGTTCCGTAGTAGCTCTTAGTCCGAATCATTTAAAAGAAGGAAAATACAGCAATGAATCTGACTTACTCTTGCCTTCAAAAGCTTCAAGTTGAGCTTTCATTTTTTGAAAAACTGCTGGCTTTTTGTCCATATTTAATATCTAATATTTATAATTCTCAAGTATGCCACTTTGAAGAGGGGTTTTGGGGTTTTGGGGTTTTGGGGTTTTGGGG